TGCAGCTCAGGGCTGTGACAGAGGATTTGCTGTTGGTGTTTGTCCCTCTGGGTCAGCACTGCTGTTCTGCTCCTGGAAGTGCCCAGCAAAGAGCACAGCTCCTGCTTTCCATGGTGCTGGGAGGTTAAACACGCTCCAAGGGCTCGGGTTAGCTTATTGATACCTGCTGTGGTCCCTGAGGACCGGAGATTGAGGAGTCTCCCACCAGCCCCATTTGCTCTAATGTTTTGATGATTTTACTTAGACAGATATTTACATAGCTGTGCCTGCTTTGGTGTAAATCTGCCTTGTAATTGTCCTGTGACGGGTGTGCTTTGGAGTAAAGCCACATCCATCCATGGTTTCATTTGCAACTACAGACAAGTGAAAAGGGCTTTTAAATGCGCCTTGCTGCAATAATTTCTCACCCATTTTGCTTAATGTTTTAAATGCACTTGATGAACATCATCCTCTGAGGAATTTCTAACCCACATAGTGCAGAAGGAATATTTAACTCCAGTGTGTGTGGTGAGGTGTTTACTGACTTTAGAAGATCTCTGCTGATTTGAATGGCCCCCAGTCCAACATCTGCAGCCCTCTGCCCTCTCGTGTAACAGCCCCAGCACACTCCTGAGTGCCACTCCTTGCCCCTGTGCCTGGGATATATGTAGGAGATAATTAACACAAAATACTAATCTTGTGGTGGCATTGGGCAGTCCCAGAATGCACCTTATGTGGATGGGAAATGAGTGCTGGGAGTGTGCCTGGAGCAGCTCAGCTGCTGGGGCAGGTGGAAAATTCACCGGATTTATCCCTGAGCTCTTGCTCTGCTCCCTGATTTGCCAGGGACTGGATTACAGTTYCCTTCTCGGAGACTCAAGGCTGGGGTCAATCCGAGCTTCAGTTTAACTAATCCCACTTGACCAAATGCTGGCAAGGCTGTGGAGCACACGGAGCACTGGCTGTGCTGCTGTGGAGCAGAACTGCCACGGTTCAGCTGGCACCAGAGAGGGATGTGTGCCCTGCTCTAGTGCAGGAGCAAGGAAAGGTGTCCCCATGTGCCAGGGACAGCCTGGCAGGTCAGGGTGGGTACAGCCGTGTCCATCAGGGGCTCACAGGGGGAGCTGCCAGTCCCACTAACCTGTGAGGTAACCACAGAGCTGCAGCCCTGCCAAAGTGGGGATTGGGGAGACAGTTAATGGATTATTCACTGAGATTTTGATGGCTCCTGCTCTGGTTCAGGGTAGGGTCCCAGTGTAAGTCCAGTGCAGTACATTGTGCCCAGAGGGTTTCCATGGGGATAACTGGCAGCAAAACCTTCCTCACCACTTCACGGAAATGTGTGGGTGCTCCCAGTGCAGTCAGTCCTGTCACATTCACAGCCTTTGGGGTTTTTTGGCCTCTGCTCTGTCCTGTGAGGATTGCAGCATTGCTCTCACCCTGCGTGCAGGCGGTTATGGGATGGGTTGGGTCCCATCCCCTGCAGGGCTGGAGGGCAGCTGCACATCCCCAGCTCAAACCTGGCACCTGCGGGCTTTGGGAGGTTTGTGACTGTGCCATCCCAGAGCTGAACCTTTGATCCTTTCCCCCTATGTTGACCTGTGTTTTGCTGAGGCTGCTGCCCTGTGGCACTCCTGGGAAGGAGATGAAGCATTCCCAAGAAACAGAATCTCTGATGGCACAGCCCCATCCATCATGGCACTGTGAATGACACAGAGCGTGGGCACACAGAGAATGCAGTGACAGCGTGGCAGATGATGGGAGGGGAACCCTGATGGGCTGAGGGCAATCACTGCCACCCTGTCCCCTGTGCTGGGGTGTTGCACTCAGGGCTGGAGCTGGCACAGGATGTGCAGTAGCAGTGGTAGGAAGGGACAGGACGTGCCAGCTCCCTCCACCCTGACCACGGAGAAAAGGAGTTTCACAGCTCGAGAGAGGGGTTGGAGTCTCCTGAATGCAGGACAGGGAAAGCCTTCAGCACACACAGGGAGAGGAATCGAGTGTCAGGCCTGCTCGGAGTGAGGGGAACATCTTCTGCAGGGGGTACCTGCTGAAGGCAGGAATCAAAATTAAGATTTACCTTATTTTAAATGAAAAGTGACCGGCATTGGCCCCTTCCTGAAAGCAGGAACTAATTCAATTTATTAGTGTTTTATTTTATTTGACAGTCTTTCTGTGTACTTGATGCACTTTGTTACACTGAATTATCATTGAATAATGGGTGGGTGTGACACAGAGCCTGCCCTGAGGWGGGCTCTGGAGCTGGAGGGGRATGCACAGGGAGATCTCTGCTGTTSAGGATTGCTGTGCACTGCTGATGGAGCTGAGTGGGTTGGACAGACCCTAACCTGACCTGTCCCTGCTTCAAAGAAACAAGGCTCTGTTCCATTTGCTGTCACGTTACCCCGTTTGTTGGTGACTCCACTGTGGCTGAGGCATGGCTGGGCAGCTGCTCCCTTGGGCTGTCCAGAGCCAGGACCCCCTGTTGTGTTGGGAACAGGCTCACCATCTGCTCCCAGCAAAATCCTGACTGCTCCTGTCTCAAAGTTCCAGTGCTTTCGGGGTTAAATCCTTATTTCTGATACCCTTAAGCAGGAGCTCGCAGCATGTGGCCATGCTGTTTTCCATATTTCAGTGCAGATTCTTGCCACTGTAGCAGATAAATATCCCTGCTTTAGCAAACCAGTTATGGATAGCCAGGTCTGTCCCTCTTGTGGGGTTTTACCTGGTGATGGGCCAAGTCCCAGACATAAAAAGGTCTTCACGGGACTTAGCCCTGACCTAATGTGTGGAGAATGTTCTTGGTTAAGAGTTTGTGGCAGCTCTGTGGTTGTGTGTGAGTGCCCTGTAGGAATGAGCAGGAATTGTGCTGGGGCACCAGGAACTGCAGGCACCATGGTGTTGGATTGCCTGGACTAGGACAGGAACTGCTGGAGGCAGCCCAGGGTGTGACTGCAAACTGTGCTGGGCTGCACAGGATCATTTTGCTGAGCAGGATCCCTGCCCCAGCCCTGGCTGCGTTGTTTCCATGCCCACTGTAGCCATGGACCCTTTCTCTTTGCTCAGCCATTGTGTTCTGATGTCACACTGACAGGCAGTCCCTGTGGTCCCAGAGCAGACACGAGCTGCTGTCCCAGGTCCCAGCAGGCTGAGCAGAACCCGTCAGCACAAACGATGCATCATTGCCTGTGTCAGGTGGAATTAGCAGGCAGGCTCGTCACATTAGGCTCAGGCTCTGAGCTGGCAGCACCAGTGCTCTGTGTCACTCGAGCTGGCTGTCACTCCTGTCCCCACCTCTGCAGCCACGGGAAATGTCTTCAGGCAGCAGACAGATAACAGGAGTAATGAGGTAGCTGCAGGGAACAAGTCAGTGGCAGGCAGGAGCACGGACTGACACATTCCTGGTGTATTCAGTTCCCTTCAGAGCGCTGTGTCCAAAGTTATTGCTGACCCCACTCCTCACACCGTGGTCTCCACTGCATCCCCCAGCCCTGGCCGGGCTGTGCTGATTCCTCTGAAGGCAAACACACCCAGCTCTGTTCCTGCTCCTTCCCTCTGTCCCTGCTGTGTGTCCCTCACTCTGTCCCTTCTCATCTCTTACCTCCATCACTTCACTGAGGCAAATGCAAAAAAGTTAAAAGAAAAARTGTGCTGACCTGGCAAGAAATGTATTTGTGTTAGAAATGCTCCTGGAATTTCAKATCCYGGCTGACAGTGACGAAATGAGGCASAASAGGATTTTTGGTTGTTCTTGTTTCAAAGCTGTAGTTGCTGTAGCAGGATCAGAGCCTGGTTTACTGGGCTCTCTCTGCTTCGCTGTGCTTGAACCATCCTGGAGCTTCTCTCAAAATTAGATGGGTTTGGGTCTGCTTGTCCTTCTGTCATACACTTGGGAAGGCRTTGGGTTTCCCTGGAGAGAGCCTGTTAGGAGGGGGTGGGTAGAAGCAGCGGCAGCCAGAGCTCTGTGGGGTCCCGTGGGGCAGTCCCAGTGCCGGGTGCTGGCTGTGTCCAGGAGCTGGCTGTGTGTACCCCATACCGGGATCTGTCTGTGTGTGCCCCATGCTGGGTGCTGGCTGTGTCAGTGTGTTGGGATAGTCCCCATGCTGGGATCTGGCTGTGTGTGCCCCATACTGGGATCTGGCTGTGTGTGCCCCGTGCCAGCAGCTGGCTGGGCCCTGTCCCTGGGTGTGACACTCTGCTCCTGATCCCGCAGGTGCCCGTCCTTCGGCCCATGGACCTGATGGTGGAGGCCACTCCACGGAGGGTGTTTGCCAACGCTCACACCTACCACATCAACTCCATCTCCGTCAACAGCGACTATGAGACCTACATGTCAGCSGATGACCTGAGGATAAACCTGTGGAATTTTGAAATCACCAATCAAAGTTTTAGTATCCTTTGGTGTGTGGGAGATGGCCCTGGGTGCCAGTGAGGTCCAGCCCCACGGGAACCGGGGTGCCCATGCCTGTGGGGATGGGGACAGTGGGCAGTATTTGCTCGGCCCCACACCCACTTGTAGTGCCTCAGTGCAGGAGCTTTGCTCTCTGGCAAGGCTGGTGGGGTTCAGGAGCACCAAACAGTGCTGCCCGCTCTGCCCCTGACTGCAGAGAGCACTGGGATCCCCAGTGCCATGTGTCATTACCAGGACACTGCAGTGTCACCTCTGCCCGTGCTGCTGCTGAGATGCCAGGCTGTGCCAGAGGATGCATCCAGCAGTGCCATGGAGCTGCTCCCTGCACAGCACAGGGCTCAGCTGGCATTGAGCTGCTGCCTCACTGCTGTGTGGGTGACACATTTCTGAATTTGCCTGCAGGGTCTGGTGGGATCTGCAGGTGGTAGAGGAGACAGAGCCTTGGGGAGGATGGAAGCACTAACGGTGCAGTCCCCGTTACACCCYGCAGCAGTGACAGTCACCCTCTATAAATGAGGCTGTGCCAGTCACCCTCTTAGCAGCCACATCAGGATAACACAGGRCACGAATCACTGCCCTGATTTATCTGGTGCTTCCTGCTGAGAAATCCCTGGGGCACGGTTTAGGCATGGAGAGGATTTTGGCAGTGATGGCATGTGGCTGTGGGAGAGCAGGGCGCTGGTGCCGGGCTGGGATTAATTGGGATGGATTAGGCTGGGCTGGGATGAATTGGGATGGATTAGGCTGGGCTGGGATGAATTGGGATGGATTAGGCTGGGCCGGGCCGGGCTGGGCTGGGCTGGGCTGGGCTGGGCTGTGTGTGCTCCTTGACTATCCCTGCCAGACATTGTGGACATCAAGCCGGCCAACATGGAGGAGCTGACGGAGGTGATCACGGCCGCCGAGTTCCACCCTCACCACTGCAACACCTTCGTGTACAGCAGCAGCAAAGGCACCATCCGCCTGTGTGACATGCGCACCGCCGCCCTCTGCGACCGCCACGCCAAGTGTGAGTGTGGCACCTGGGCCCTTGGCTTCAAAGAGAGCAAAAAAGGGGGTACAGAGCCCCACCTGGGCTCGGGTCTGCCCTGCCAGCTGATCCCCTGCTCCCCCAGTGTGCCGTGCCCATGGCCACACCTCGGCTGTCCCCAAAGGGAGCACCTTCCCCCCGAGTCAGCCCCACTCCTTCGGTGGAGCACGGCGATGTTTGGGTTCAGGGGATCACGGGGGTGTCGATGAGCTGTCCTCTGCTGAGCAGTCTGTGCTGGACACAGGCCCAGGGACGGTGAGCTGTGGAACAGCCCTGGGCTGCTGCACTGTGCCCGGGCAGCCAAACCCCTGGGTCTGCTCTTCTTGGGGGAGTCTGATTCAGGAAGTGGTCAGTGGTATCCCATTGGGAAATTCAGGAGATTGTTGGTATTCTGAGTGCAATCACATTGCAAGAACGAGATGCACAAACTGGGTGGAACTGAGTGCAGCCCCCCACTAACATCCTGCTTCCAGCAAGCCCCTGGCTGAATTTGGGTTTAGGGCTCCTGCAACAGGGGGGAATTACACCCCAACAGCTGCTTCTGGGCTGCTGAGCCATGGCTGCAGTCTGATTCCTGTTTTTGACCTGGAGTAAAGAAGACAGAGGAAAGCTCACATTGCTGGCAGGAGACTGGGAAATATGGAATGGCAGCTTTCCTAAATCCTGAGCAAAACGCACCCGGTGTGTTCCTGCATTTCCTGGCCATGGCTCCAAGTCTTGGTGACARTGTTTCTCAGTTGAAAATCAGAATACAGTTAAGGAGCTAACAAAATTCAGTTTCCTGACACTTGAGTAGCAGAAGCTGTTGGCATTTGCCTTTGTTTGGCACTGCCTGGTGCCACAGCAGCTCTCAGCAGCACAGCGGCCGTGGTGCCTCCCTCTCACTGTGACCTCTGGTGACATGTCCTGAGTGATTCCCTTCATCCCTCCCAAGCATCAGCTGCACTCACYTGTGGTTCAGCAGATGTGGGAGTCAAACCTGAGACAGTTCATCAAGTTCAAAATGAAAAGCAACATTGGCTTTTGGAACAAATCCATCAACAGGGACATTTAATAACTGTCAATATTTAATAAAACTGCAGGCCATGATTCATCSTGTCAGGTTTCTGTAGATGGTGAAGTCACTGCTCGGGGCAGCTCTGACTTGGCAGTTCTCTTATGAAGGTTTGTTTAGCCACATTATTTGAGGCTCCTGTGATCTGTGACCTGGGGTGAGGAGCTGACCTGAGGGAGTTTGCAGACTCAGAGCATCGTGCGAGTGCTCCCTGCGCGGAGCGTCCCGTGTGCTGGGACAGGGAGCTCCTACCTCAGCTGATGCTGGGGCTCCTTCTTTCCTCTTGCACAGTTTTTGAAGAGCCTGAAGACCCGAGTAACCGGTCRTTTTTCTCTGAGATCATCTCCTCAATCTCGGATGTCAAATTCAGCCACAGTGGAAGGTACATCATGACCCGGGACTACCTCACTGTCAAGGTGTGGGACTTGAACATGGAGAACCGGCCCATCGAGACCTACCAGGTGAGTGTGCACAGCCAGGAGCAGTTGGGCACCCTCTGAGTTCCCTCCTGAGCCACTCTCTGCGTGGCACAAATGGCAGGAATCACCTGCTCTGTGAGAGTTATGTGCCTGTAGATGGTGGAAAGCAAACAGAGTTGTTCAATGTGGGCACAAGTGAGGCCGGGGGTGAGTGAGGAGGGGACGCTCAGCTGCTGACAGCCAGGAGGGTCCGGTGGGAGCCCTGTCCCTGTCACCCCCTGCCCGGGGCTGTCCCCTGGCACTGCCCACTTGTGGAACGGGGCTGGAGGGGCTTAGAGAAGAACAGTGCTGCGGGAGGGCACAGGAGGCCAAAGAGTGACCACTGCTGCTGTCTTGGCTGGTGCCAGCTGTGCCCGCTGTGCCAGCCCAGTCAGCCGGGCTGGGTCTGCCAGTCCTGGGCTGTGCTGGTCCGTGGGGCTTTGCTGGTCAGTGTGGGGTTGTGCTGGTCAGTGCAGGGCTGTGCTGGTCAGTGCAGGGCTGTGCTGGTCAGTGTGGGGCTGTGCTGGTCAGTGGGGCTGTGCTGGTCAGTGGGGCTGTGCTGGTCAGTGTGGGGCTGTGCTGGTCAGTGGGGCTATGCTGGTCAGTGTGGGGTTGTGCTGGTCATTGTGGGGCTGTGCTGGTCAGTGGGGCTGTGCTGGTCAGTGTGGGGTTGTGCTGGTCAGTGGGGCTGTGCTGGTCAGTGCAGGATCCTCACCCATCCCTCGCCCCCACAGGTCCACGATTACCTGCGGAGCAAGCTCTGCTCTCTCTACGAGAACGACTGCATCTTCGACAAGTTCGAGTGCGTGTGGAACGGCTCCGACAGGTGAGCTGCACTGGGTGCTTGTGCTCAGCCCGGGGTGCTTTGGCTCGGCCCAGGGGACCCCTCAGGCCCTTGGCAGCCCCTTCCCTGGCCTTTGGCTGCTGCAGGGTCAGGAGATGTCACAGGGACTGTACACAAGTGGGGATGTCCGAGGGTCCTGCTCTCTSCTGGACAGAAGCAGTTCCACCTCTGGTACCCACAGCTGGAGGAAGGGGGTGATGGGTCCAGATTGCCAGAATCTGGGGACAATGAGTATCCAGGTGTTGCTCACACCAAGATGGGTGGCAGGAAGTGTGTGAGCCCTGGACAGGACTGTCGTGGTTTCTGTATGAGCCATCAGTGAGCTGTCCAGGCACAGCTGGACCTGAGCCAAATTCCAGAGCTTACCCAAATCTCATTATGCCTCTGAATATTCAGTCTCCCTCACTCACCAGCAGTTTGCTTCTGAAAAGGTGTGAAAGTCACCTGTCCTTCCCCTTCCAGTGTGATCATGACCGGCTCCTACAACAACTTCTTCCGCATGTTCGACCGCAACACCAAGCGCGATGTGACGCTGGAGGCGTCGCGGGAGAACAGCAAACCCCGCGCCATCCTCAAACCCCGCAAGGTCTGCGTGGGCGGCAAGCGCAGGAAAGACGAGATCAGCGTGGACAGTCTGGACTTTAGCAAAAAGATCCTGCACACAGCTTGGCACCCCTCTGAGAACATCATCGCTGTGGCAGCCACCAACAACCTGTACATATTCCAGGACAAGGTCAACTAGGAGGACCAGGTGTTCTTTAGGAGTCTCATGTACTGACACCAGTAAACACATGGTTTCAACTGTTCCTTTTCTTTCTTTCTTTTTTTGTTTTCCTTTCCTTCCTGTTCTTTGTCGGTTCCTGCTCTGCAGATTGCGGTTGTGCAGAGGAGCACGGGGGCACCTTGGGGACACCCCCAGACACCAGATTGACATGGGRAGAGCTGCAGGGCAGTGTGGGGTGTCAGGCCTGGCTGCCCCATGTCCTCAGSATGTTCCCAGGCACTGCTGGGGTGGCASTGACCCTCTGCCAATGSCTCGGGGGTGATGKGGCAGGGGAAGGGACACCGTGGCCCCTGGCCAGCTCTGGGGGCAGTGGTCCCACTCCACTTGCTTTAAACCTGATCCCAGAAATATTCCACCTGTTGTGTTAAAGACTGGAATGCTGCCTCCCTTTGCCATTTTCCACATTTGTATTTTTATTACAATTATTTTGTGTTTTACCAACAGAGACAGCAAAACCAAACGTAAAATGAAAAAGTTCAGTTTTGCAGTGGACAAGCTTAAAGGGGGAAGGGGGGTATGTGCTGCACCCCCAGGAGTGTCTGCTCCAGCCAGGCTGGTCCCCCCAGCCCCCAGAACCCTCCTGAGGATTTGGCTTTGTAGATACTGTGGTGCCTTCTTTGGTATATGAAATACCTTTATAAATGATGCTTCCGACCTGCATTGATCGCAAACCAAACCAGTCCTGGGCTCTGCTGCAGTTCTGGGCTTTGCTTTGGTCATTTTCCTCATTCTGTTGTGAGCTCTTGCATGTSGTGACTGACTGTATCTCTCTCTGTCTCTTTCTCTCTTTTTTAATTAATTTATTTATTTATTCAATTTTTTAAAAAATAAAGTATCAGTTGCTAATTTATGACCTAAAAAAGAATCCAACTGTATATTGCTGTTAGCCCCTTACTCTGTCAGAGAGAGGCTGTCTGCAGTCCATTATGRTAACAGTGATACTAATAATAAAACCAGTAACTCTTTCTCTTTGCATGGCGAGGCTGCCTCTTTCTGGTCCGCAGATTGGTCAGGTCCCTCTTGACTTGAGCAACTGTTCTRTAAAAAACAGATTGACTGGATTTTCTGTAAATCTGAAAACTGCTCCCGCAGCAAGAAGCAAATGAAGTCAATTCCAAAATTCAGCACCATCACTTTGGCAGTGGCTCCACAAGGGTGACCCTGCTGCCGTGGGGACAGCGGGCACTCCCAGCACCCACGGCCTTCAGAGATCAGGACACGATCACCAAGGGCCTGGGACAGCCTCTCTGCGGGCACCATGAGGATCATGGCATGTCCCAGCCTGGGAAAGGAACTGCAACACCCCCAGAGCTCACGGACTGCACGGAAAATCCCGGAGCTGGTTGGACGCGGGGACCTCCTGCGCGCCGCTCTCGGAGSAGCCATCCCAAGGGAAAAACAAAGTGCACTGGCTACGGATTTATTCCAAGGGATGGCTTTMAGGAGTAACTTTTTTAAAATGAAATGGTAAAATAAAATAGCAAGAGTAAATGAACCATTTTATAAGAAAATGCTTTTTTCTGGTTCTGTAAGGAAAGGCTGCGCTGTGGTGTCAGAAGTAAAGTTGTCCCAAACGTGTCTGTGTGGAGTGGATGTTGTTGTGCCTCGGGGCAGGGATGGCTCTGCAGGGTCCAGAGGCTTCTGGGCTGAGGGGGGCAGGGCTGTGCTGATCAGGGATCACAGGGGTCCCCAAGGCCAGGGATTCTGGGTCCCTCTGAGGATGTCCCAGGGTGGGGCACTGTGTAATGGGGCCCTGGAGATTCCTTCCCCTCTGCACAGGAGGAACCCCAGTGCTCGATACAGCCCTGCAAGGCAGCCACTCCCTGCCCATCCCTGCCCTCATTCGGGGCTGTTCCTGGTGATGAATTTCAACAGCAGCCACTAATTAGCAGCTGCAGGGCACGGACTGTACCGTCAGGGAGATGTTCCTCAGACACTCATTTTCCTTCACATTAACTGCAGGACCTTAATCAACTGAAACAGCATGAACCCAGCCCACTGGGTGCGGTGCATCCTGGAATCCTGGTGGATCTGRCTGTTCCACCAGGCAGACCTAAATTCAGCTTTTTTCCTAAATTGAGTTTCTTTCCCTTTGTTAATCTTGCTTGGATTTAATCTCTGCCCCATTGGGAGTGCTTGGCCACAGAGGGCTCATATTTAAGCAAGAGGCAAAAGAACGAAACAGGAATAATCACTCTGCTCACCTACCTTGCCCACATGCTGACCCCACACTGCTCACTGCCCTGGCCCTGTTCTGCCAAACACAGCCAAGAACGTAGGCAGTATCACTTCCGTCCTTTGTTTTACTCATACATTCACAAGTCCAACAAAATCYAACAGAAACTGGGATTAGGCCTGTACAATCCATATATAAAAAGGGTTGGTTTATTGTAGTTCAAATACATAAACTGAACAATCCCAACATTTCAAAATTAAACTTTAGAAACACAAGTTTAACATTCAAAACAGGAGTATAGTTTACAAGAATTGCCCAGAGGGGGTATTATGCACAGTCTAATCCAGAAGTATGTAAAGATCACTTTATYGTAAATAAAAAGGTGTTTATACAACCGTCCTGGCCTGCTCGCTCACCTCTGGCATTTCCAGCTTCGAGCAAGAGTTATYAGACAGAACTTCACTTGGGCAGAGCAACCTGACTGCTGCACATCGATGGCTGGGGGCAGGAACAGAACAGCTTGTGAACAAACCTGGTTTGGGCTCCGAGTCCCTGTTCTTCACTCAGTTCTAACCCTGGCTTTAATGGATTTAGCTCCATTCACAAGAGTGGAAGCAGAGAACTGGGACTGGTGTTTCCAGAGCAGGCTGTCAGTGATCAATAATTTAAGCTATGAGAGCACACCAGCTCAGCCACGGACTGCAGGAAGCAGGAGGCWGCTGTGGCACACATGGAGGGCGCGCTCAAACCACAATGGGATCAGCCTGTGGATCACAGGGAGGACACTGCTGAGAGGGAAAGCCCAGGTACCAGACACCCACACCTCACACACACGGCCCTGCAGTCACCAAACAGCCCCCATTCATCAGTCATGCTCCAATTAACTCATAAATATCTTTAACATGGGCTTTTGTTGTTGCTGGTTTCCCCCCGCAGAGATCATTTTATGTTCACTATTGCTGCTTCTGCCTCTGCTCCTCAGATGTTTGAATATATTCACGGCAATGAATGTGTGTAACCTGACAGATGGCTCATGCAAGCGTTTGGATTGAACAGACCCGTGGCTCAGGAGCAGCCCGAGCTATTTGGTGGTTCTCCGCGTGGGCTCGGAGGCGGTGGGGGGYGGGGGAGGCCCGCGCCGGTCCAGGTCATCCATGTAGGACACGATCAGCTTGCGCCGCTCCTCGGGCACGCAGTCCAGCACCAGGTACCGCTTGTCGTTCTGCAGGATCTTCTCCACATCCTTCAGGTGCTGATCAGACTCCTGGATCAGCTTTTTGGATCTGAAAGCAAGGGTGAGTCACTGCTGGGGTGTGTCCGGGGGGCTGCCCCACCATAAGGGAGCTCAGGGAGCCAWGGACAGCCAGACAGGAAAGGTGCAGGGCCTTGGCCATCCTCTGAGCTGGAAATTCATCATGTCAGCTTAGGACTGGGCATGTGTAACCCTGCTCTGGGCACAAAAAMCACAGGCTCGTTCCCTACACCTTGTGCTGTGTTCATCAAGCATCATRAAAGACTCTAGTAACTTAAACTTGTGCTAGGAAAAAACAGACATCAGTTTGCTGCTGTTTGTATGGCAAAGCACAATAAAAGGCAAGTCCTGCACTAGCATCACATTCCCCACCTGTAYGTGATGAATTTGGTCTCTTTGAGCAGTGTCCTGAAGTCGGCTTTGGCAGTGATGTATTTGTCTCGGATGTATTCCTCAAACTCCCTTTGCTTTTTCTGAAAGATGAAAGATAAATGTAAACCCCAGGTTGCAGCTCCAGTACTTCCTGCAACTGAACACCAGCATTAATTACATGTTAATTACACTTTTCCTTATGCTCGATAGTCTTTGTTTTTAAAAATTGTATTTATATAACTACCATAAAATTATTATTTATGTAACTACTAACACCGGTGTCCACACAGAGCAAAAGCCACTGCTGCAGCCCCCAACTCACTTCTCTGTACCCTGCACCACATTGCAAGTTACCAAGAGTGCTGCAAACCACTTACCCTGTCACTCGAAGAGAATTTAATGCATCTTGGATCTTCTTTAATGATTTTTTTCACTTCCTTCCATGTTGATGTTAAAGTTATCTTTCAAAAAAAGCAAAAATAGGTAAATTAAATGTAGAGYAGGTTCTAAGAATATGGAATGCAAACACTACTAATCTCTGAGGCCTTCAAATACATCCCAAGTCCACTACAAAGTTGTTAACTGTTGGGTTCTGATTACTCCTACTATTACATTTGTATTTTTAAAACTAGTTGATTTCACATAGTGACTCTTCTTTTGTATTTTGAGATTGCATTTTCAGATCAAGGTCCTCCAAATATAATTTACTTTCCAAAGTCTTTTTCTTGTACAATTAYGTATGTTAATGTGTTGTTAAAAATTACCTGCAGAAAACTTGCCTCTAAACTAAAATAAATAATACATTAAGAATCAGGTAAAAACCTCCAGGTGAAATGAAAGCTGCCTTAAGTTGGCACAGAACTAAAAAAGAGGACACCTCGCTAAYCCCAAATGCACAGAAATTGGGATGGAGTCCACAGCATGAACAGAGTAAAAGTTCAGGCTCAGCAGAACATCAAAACAGATGAATGGGTAAGACCATTCTGATGGCCCTCATGCCAAACATCCTAAATATCTGAAAGAGCCAGACAGTGAAGAGTATCAAATAACTCAGTGCTGAAGCAATAAAGAGAAGATGAAAAGACTACTGATTAGAAGTTTATATGTAAATTAACTGCATGTTCAATCWAAGTAACACTCCAGATAAAAAGGTAAGGTAACATAATGCACAAATTTTGTTATGAAGGAGAAAAGAGWGTGGTGAAGCAAAGAAGCCCTGGAAATAAAACCAAAGCAATCAGATTGTGGGACAAAAAAGARTAAGAAAAATCCCAGTGGACTACAAAGACTGTCAATTTGAACAACAGTTCTTACCGCTGAAGTTTCATCCAGAAGTTGCCTGAAATGTTCCCTCTTCTTTTTGGTAAGTGCCTCAATGTGTTCATTAAAGAGCTTTTCTTTCTCCTCTCTCTCGAGCAGGGATCCCGACTCCCAGCGGTGATCTTTGCGCAGAGTCCTCCTGGTGTCAGACCAGGACACGTCTGAAGAACGCACCTGAGCCAAAGAGAATTCGTTTTTTAACCAGTTTTGCTAAAGTTCACTGATAAATTATTATAGGCTTATTGTTTTTATCTTGTTTAAAGGTAAGGTTAAAATCAAAGATAAACCCTCCGTTTTTAAGGAGAATGTAACAGGTTCTGCACAAACACTGAACAGGCAGCAGCAGAAGGAATCCCTCTGCACTGGTTCGGAGCAGACGGAGATAACCTCACTGAGCATTCTCAAAATCAGAAAATCAGAAAATCCCAGCACTCTCCTTCCTCCTCTGTGTGCTCACTGGGGTGCTTGGAAAGCCAGCCTCAGAGATCATCATTTCCAAAGACAGCAGGATCTCTGCAGTGCCCTGCTTCCAGCCTGGAGAGCACCCTCCAGAASAGAGCCCTAAATGCACAGCATTCTCTT